CGACGACGACCACGACGACGACTACCACTATCACCAGGACCATCACTAGTACGAGTACATCTAAGAACAGTACTTGTGCTTGTCAAACTCCTTTTGGCACCACTGCTACCGTTGCTACTACGACCACGACTGCGATTCGTCACGATAATCACAATCATGATGACCCTCATGCAATGAAATCAAGAACACCAGGTTACTCTTAGAGTCAGTACCCATTCCCATGACCTCGTGACACACCTATGACTCCTATGACTGCGATTTCCGTGTTCGACTCAGGGTAGCCTATGTCGACAGCGGCGACAAGCAGGCTTTTAGGGAAAAAAAGCTGGAGGGTCGAAGGATTCTGGCCCCAACTTCCGACCACTTCTAGATTCTAGATTAGAAACTGAGCATGTAGAGCATAAAGCAAGGCATCAAAGCGTGCTGAACTCAAAGACAAAGGTCCATAACCTTTGCCTCCAGCAACAGTGTAAGGTTGTCCATGCTGTTGTAGAAGGCTTGCAGGGAGTCTCTGGCAGCCAGCACACGCATCTTGAGCTCGTCCTTTTCGGCCACCTTTTTCGAGTACAAGTGTTCAGAGAGCCTTGGGCCTAAGACCTCGGCGGAATTTCCTTTTCGAGAAGGAGGAGGTTGTGGAGTGAGCGGGAGGGACCTCAGTACCTGGTACAAAGCTGGACGGAAGTCAAGAATTGTGCAGCGCTGTTGAACCGAAGGAGAGATGGCCATCTCCAGAGAAGACTTGACTTCCTTCGCGACAGCCATCCGTGAAAGCCTGCCCTAAGGCTTTCTGGTTGTTGATCGAACTCCAATGAAAAAAGGGGCCTTAATAAGTAGAATAGGGTTTTGGGGATTTTGGGGTACATTATACTATAAACATATTAATAAGGAACCCCCAAAATAGTATAGGTAATCATTTGGGCCCCTACGAGTACCTTAAGCCATGTCATGTCGTCTGGTCGCGACACACTCGGAGCCCAAAACGTCCCAAGTCTGTTGTTTCCCTCCTCTCAATACGGAAATCTCAAAGCCTCGTGCTCGGAATCCAGGCATAGCCTCTCTGCATGGTCCAGATCCATCTTAGCCTGCAAGAAGACCTCCCGAAAGCTTGTAGCTACGTGCCGTGCGGGCATGTCAAATGAAGCCAGATAGGTCCCGTCTGGGAACGCCGTTTTATTTCAAACTCCTCGTGCATCCATCTGTAGCGGAAGCCATGGTTCGTGAAAAGGCAGTTCGCCGCACCTGAGCCCAGCCCACGCTGAAATCCTCGGGCCTTCTCAGAAGCCTCGGCCAAGCGGCGGTGCTTGGTGACGAGCCCCTCGGCCTTCGCAAAGATTTAGTTTTAGGGTGTCAGCCTCAAGTACGAGGTTTCGGGGTTGGGACTTAACGGAGAATACGCAGGCAGAAGGTCAGAGATAATTCGATTGCGCCACAACTCTGCTTGAAGTGCCAGATGAAAACGTGTTTCCGAATCGCGGCGCAAGCGAGAACGGAAGCTTCCAGGTTCTAGGATTCTAGGTGGCTTGCATTTGGATGAACTACTGTATGGAGTAGGGTGCTCGTTATCTCCATCACCAGCGAAGTGCTCCGGTAAGAATCCACCTCGACGCTTTTGTGTCGACGGATGAGCGGAACGTGATGATCATCCCAGGCAATGAAGCGCAGCCCTCAACCAAGTTTTAAAGATCCCAGCCCTAAACATCAACACAGCCTGCTAAAGTCAAAACCGCATGTTCTGGCATCAGCATATTTCATGGAACACTTTGCCACCACTGCTTTGGCCAAAGTAAGATACAGAATCTACGACTGGCTGCCCGATACTCAGTGCACACGTGACACCTTACAGAACTAGACCCTTGCCCTCTCCCAAACTCGCCAGTGAAACGAAACCCTCAACCCGGAACTTAAATCCGCACCCCTCAATGCTAAACGACCCTGCAGCCAAAGCTCCTCAGTCCCAACCCACTTGCCACCCCCCCCAAGCCCCAAGCCTAGAATTGCTGCAGCTGCCAGTGTGGCTGCAAGTGTGTTAGTGAGATTCTTGACAGCATGGACTAATAGAACTGCAATAACGACTGCAAACATGGATGCGCACACACACACACACAGAGACACACACGTACCTGCATGCAACAACGTAAAAAAACAAATATACGTAGGCAGATGCCTAAAGAACAACCACCAGGCCGGCAAAGCTAGTAAACCCTGGACACGCACATCGTGTTTGTAGGGCTCCCTTAATTAAGGCTTACTTGTCCTCACGCCACCTCAGCGAGGTTGGCTTGCACCACGTCGGCTTCTTGGGAGGCGTTCCTGGTGCATTGTGGTGGAGGTGTTAGGGTTTTTTGGGTTTTGGAATTCAGGGTTAGGGGTTAGGGTCTTGGGGTCTATGGCTTTAGGGTTTTGGAGTTCAGGCACCAGCGCTCAGAGTGCAAGGCTCACCGGGTTTTTCTGCTTTAGACGGCTTCTCAAGGGGAACACTGGAGCTCAGACCTTAGGGTGCCCTGCCTGGCGATACCACCACGCGACACGGCTTCTTCACGGAGGCGGTCCACCTTCTCCTGTCAGCCACCCTTAAGGGCTGTGGTTTGGGTTTTGGGCTTTGGGTGTTTCGAGCTTGAGGATGCTTGAGCTAGGGATAAGGCATAATGAGGGTTTACTCTGCCAATGATAGCCTTTCCTGCCTTGTCTGTGTGGTCGAATTGACCATGTTACTGCTTGTTGGTTGTAGGCGTCAAACAGAAGCAACGTCTGCCAGTCTCTTCTCAGCGCCAATTTTACTAATGCCGCACTACGGCAATGCCCTCTGCCGATACGCCGCCAACACACGAACAGCTTACAGTAGCCCATGGGGCACGCCTATTATAACCTTCCAGCAAATGTTGACGCAACCCGCATGGTAGCCCTTAGTAGAGCAACCTTATAGAGACCCTCAGAGGAACAACCCCCGCCCCTTCCGCTGACCAAGGGCCCTAAACTCCCACCTAAACCCTGAACACTAAACCCAAAAGCGTCTCCTGCTTCTTCTCGTAGGCGGCCTGCAGCTCCCTGAGTCGCTTGTCGGCAGCAAGCTGCCTCCGAGAGAGGCTCGGAAGTGGAGGGATTTTAGAGGGTAGACTATGGGTACATTCTGTGTAGGTATGTGTAGAGGATGGATGTGTTTTGATGGTTATCGGGAAAGCTCGGGGGTGTCGGCAGGAGGGTTCCTACTGAGAAGGAATGCCATGAAGGGTTCCGATTGATCTCTCACACACACACAGAGAAGGCGTCTCAACGACGAGTATCTTGGGAAATGTGAAGACAGCGGTGACTCGGCGATGATCCGGAAAGCTTTGAGGCTGTGGTCTGCCAGGATGCTGGTCGGTGAGCCGTGCAATCTCCTTCTGCACCCTCTTCTGGAGCTCCGCGTACTGCCCTTCACAGCAAGGGCCAGTGGGGTACAGACGCGAGACAAGGTGCACTAGGCCCGAGCCCTTGCAGCGTGCTCAACACTGCGAGGGGACCCTGCTACAGCCACGCTGCCGTACATCTGCTCAACAATCCTGAACAGATGCCAAGCAAAGCTCAGGCAGCCTTCTTCGCGTGTCAGGTTGGCCTGTGCAGCAATGGAAGGCTCCAGGGACGTGACTCGGAGGTGCCGATGTCTTGCTTCCAAACCCCTGCATCCTGATCCTGAAACCGTTCGGCTCCCGACCCCATAAGACTCTCTGGGAGTTGTTTAAGGAACCCTCACAGGAATCCCTAAGGGAATGCATAAAGGAATCCTTGAAGACCCAGCAAGCCGCCTGCAAGTTCGCAAGCTCCATCGACTCGACGCGCCAGGCCTCCTGCGACTCGTTCTTTGTCCTGGCGCGGTTCGTGGTAATTGGGGGTTCAGGGCATTAGACGTTTGGGGCTTTAGAGGTTTTAGGCTTTAGGGATCTTTAGGGTTCAGGGGATGGAGGCATTTTGTGCTGGCTCGTGTCTTGAGGGTTTGAGACTTCAGGGGTTCTCGAGCCTGTAGGGCTTGAATCTTCGGGGCTCCGGTGCTTCTATAGCTTCAGGTCGCCCAACTGAGACAGCTTCTGCCCTCTGCATGATTATGGCTCATCAGGGAAACTTCTTGCAGAGGATGGCCCACAAGAGCCACCACGAATAACGGAGCTCCAGCACTCGTTCAAGAGCATGACAAAGCAGGCCCATGCGAATTGATCTCGTCAGCAAGCATTTTGTCCTGCTTTATACGACACCCCTGGGCAACCTTCGAACTCCTTTGCGATTACCGCTGTAGTCACAGCTAAAACCATGATCACTCAGCTTGCTTCATGTGCAGCCAGCCGGCGACATCAGCAGATTGACTTGCCGCTGCTTCGCGACGAGCCTGAAAGAAAGCTGTGTACTTCAGGTAAGGCCAGAACAAGGCAATCAACGAAAGTGGGTTGCAACTTACACGGAGCATTCACATGCGGGCTGGCTGCACAAGAGACATCTCCTGGCTACTCTCAACAATTTGTTTCTGCAAGGGCTTTCTGACGAGAAACATAACAGACTGTGATGTAACCTGTAATTTGACAGGATGCCCCCTCCCCGGTCACCAAGGGCGTGGCTACATCGTTCGTGAGGATTCGATAGCATGAGAATGGGTGATGCAACCATGGAAACTGCGAAGCAAAAACCTCTGAGGAATCCCCCGCAAGGCTCAGGTTCCAAGTCCCTCGGACACCCCCTATGTCGGATTCAAACTTGGGAATCTGCTGTAAACAAGACCACTGCATCGAGCCACATCTGTTTCTGGCTCGTGAGCTGTTCCAGCATCTCCTCCGTCTCCTGGCGATTCGGTGAAGAGATGCAGCCATTTCGGGAAAATCCATGCGACGCTGGTGGCTTGGAGGTCCGGAGTCGGAGTCTCTCCCTGGCCTGGGTCTTGTTCTTGGCCTCCAGCTCCCTCTGCCTCGCAACCTCGCGGGAGGCTGTCCTGCAGGACGACCCTCAGACGTCAAAAGCACCAGAAGCACGGTCCAAAAGCAGCTTCGGAAACAACGCAAAGCTAGTCATGGTAGCTTGGGGCATATAACGGCTTGAATTTTCAACCATCACGATCGGCCGAGACACGCTTTCGCTTTCACCTGCTTGGCCTGTTGGACGGCATTCTGGGACCTCAGAAACAAGGTGCTGCTCAACCCACAACAGTACCCGGAATCCTAATCACCGTTTCAGGGCTCTTGATTTGGACGAGCAGCTGTCGCAGGACCTCTCGAAGTGCATTGTTTACCACTGCGGGCACCATCCTGCCCTGGAAGGAGAGGAGGCTTGGATATCCAGTTTGGCTATTGCATGTCAGAGAGCCCCAAGACTCAGACTTATTAATGAGGGCACTGCTGGGTGACCTGACTTTTTGGCTTGAGGCCTAGGCCTAGGCTGGGACAAGTCATTCGGGGCGTTGGGCCTCAATGTCCAGGAAGCTTGTGACGAGAAACAGATCCGATTCGTCTGCACTTGTGTCCGATGCTCTTTTCCAGACAGTCTCATGCGGACCCAAGCAAAGCAACTAACATGCCGCGAAAACCTTTTGAAACAGCTCTTCCGGCCTCTGCACGCTGGAACGCCTCCCATGCCACTCGACGATAGGCAATAATAAGCAGGTTTCAACGGTCCGGGAATAGCCGACACTTTGGGGCTGCAGCTCGAGAACCAGTACTTGAACCAAGAAGCCTGGCAACACTACCACGAGCATCTGAGCAAATCAAAACTCTGATGATCTCTGCTGCCTTGCCATCGCGGAGAGCTGCAACCGCCGGCCAAAGCAGGAAGTGGAGCCACAAATACCTGGGTTCAGAGGCGGACACTCCTACGACGGTGGCTCAAGAAGGCACACTCACATCTCGAAGGCCGTCAGTATCGTCGCAAATCAATGTACGAGTAGGAAGAAAAGAACCAAATGAACCCCTATCCCGCAAAAATACGAATCAGACACCGCAGACGGGCTGAAAGAGGCACAGAAACGATAAAACAACATTGACCCCACAGCGCGGCAAGAGCAGCCTGCATCTGGAGCACGGCGACTACTTTGCTGAAATGGAGGCGAGTCCTTGCATGCGGACATGGAGCTGATACATGATGGTTTGGCAGAAAACAAACACGACTTGAGCCCATGTCACGGCACGTTGCAGCTGTGATCCTTGAACACAAGGCAAAACGGATCTTCAAAGCTCTCTCTGCAACAGCCAAACGGTCTCATCATCGACCGACCGAGATCCAATGAGCTTTATGAGATCAAAAAGAGGGCGAGGCATCAGAGTTAAATAGCATGTGCTGCGCTCCTGGGCAGTAAACCTTGCTGACGACACTCTTTATGTGCTATCTATATGTATCATACATACATACCTACATACTACTCAGTTATGCTTGTTGTTTACTTGGTCATCAAATTCTTGCCTATCTGTTACATTATTACATTTCTGTATACTTTGTGGAAACATATCTGTATATATATATACACACACACTCATACATACATATACACATATAAATATGTATGTATGTAGGTATGTAGGTATATATGTATGTATGTTTGTATGTATAAGTATATGTTCACCAAGCAAGCGGGCCTGGCTGCAACCTCCGGCTCTCGCCTGCGTCGCTGGCCTATAGCCTCCAGGGGAGGGGAAGAGAAACAATTCCAGAAATATGCTCGTGCCCGGCTATGCAGTGACTCGAACCGGTTCCTCCATCCTCCAGCCCTGGGCCTCGGAGGCTTCAAATCCTTTGGCAGCAACGCCCCCACCTGAGCCAGCCGAAGCCGTTTTTGTAGCGTACGTCTTCTGTGAGAAAGAAGCGCAGCAAGATTAGTGGCCGGGAGTGATTGAGATTGGACCAGGACTTAATCAGTTGACAGCCAACGTCATGGTGCTTGCGGACAGCAGGCAATCCGCGCATGAGTACAACCCCAACAACACGGCCAGCATCAGTCATGCCACGGTAGAGGCAGGCATCCCGAAGCGATAAAGTTGGAAGCTCATTTGGTCTGTCGAGATGCAGAATGAGGCTAACGTTTCCAACACAAACACCACAGCTTTGAGTAGACTTGAGCTCGCGGCTTGCTGGTGGCTTGGATGCCTTCCCCAGTTGTTCGGCATCCTGCGCTTTGCGACTTGTGCACGTGACTAGAACAGCAGTCGGCAGCCCCAAACCTTTGCAACCTTCGCCCTCTCAGCCCAACACCCCAGTCCAAATACCTGCATTGCATGGAAATCTAATTTTCAGCTCCCTTGCACGACCTTGGCCGCAACATCGTCGAACAGTGGACCCTCCTTCACAAGAAAAAGTGCTGGAGATTTGGGCTAAGCAGAAGCAACAGATTCTCGAGCCACAGACCTTTAAACAAACGATCTTCACGTAACAGGATTTGTGCAGGCAAGTAGGCATACAGATCGGCAAATACGGCAAGTCCAAACAGATAATGATGAGCAGATCAGCAGGTACCCGTAGTCTGACGTAGTCTGACATGTCAGCGCAAGCCTACCTACCTCCGAGTACAACTTTCCAGGGGGCTGCTTTCGCAGACACACGCATCAAGAGTGATGACACCTTCTGCCTGTGTAAGTCCACACTCAAATACCAAAAACTACCCCCCCCCCCCCACCCACTCCTCTCGAAGTCCTCAGTCGACCCGAACCCTAGACCCTTGATCCCTATAAGCCCTCGTCCCTAAATCCTGTATCGTATACCCTGAACCCAAACCCTGAACACCCACAAACCCCAAACCCGTGGAGCCACCAATGGCCGGCCTCCAATGTCTCCCAGTCCACCTGCTCATGGGGGGCTGGGTTCAAGGCTTAGAGTTGAGGGTTGGTTTAGGGCTTATTTTTTCTAGATGCCTTCTGTTCCGCCAGCAGCAATCCGCCTTCAGGTTTAGAGTCTAGGGGTGTAAGGGCGACGCGCTCTTTCCCCAAAGATCTATAGGACAGAACATTGAGTTTGGGTAAAGCGCCTGACAGCTCGTAGCCCTCATGCCAACTAACCGCGACTTTAGCAGATCTTACAAGATTCTCGTTCCAGAGAGAGGGAGCACAGCTCGTGAACGACCTGGTACACAAAAAAAAGCAGCAAGAAAACAAGAGTTTGCACTGGATCGCTGGCTGTGTCTCAGTTTGCCTCAGGTCTCGGAAGGACTTCCAAACAACGGCCCGACATGACAAACTCTCGACGAAGAAACAAAGCAGAAGAGTTCTTGTCAACCCTCCTGCCGCGTGACAAGTTTGCAGTGGCTATCACTGTTCCCAGGTTCTTCATCCGGTCAAGCATCACTATACCTCATCACTCGATCCCAACTGCCGTTTCACGTTCTGCGGCCAAAAAACTATGCAGCGACTTACTGTAATGCACGGGTGCTGATTATGCGGATTAAACGATTGGAGGGTTCTTCATTTGGACTTCGCACCTTTCTGTAACTGTCATACAGTTCGCCACAACTGCCAACTGAATTAGCCCGGAACCCGCACCATTTCTCCAAAGAACACAGCCCTTTTGGGCCCTTATAAGAACCCTCATAGAGAGTAGTTTAAGCTCCGCCAGTAGATCTCCGCCAGGAAAAAACGCAGCCACGTAGTGTAGTCCGTAGCGTAGCCAACATCCAACCAATGACCACCAAGGACGGATCAAAGATCCCGAGCACCCGCTTTGTGCGACCCCAAGCGCCCTTCTGACTCCCTTGGTGACCTTGGTCATGTCCTCCGTGGTGCAGCTCGCCCACCGCCCCAAGGAAGCTGAGGCAGCAAAATCGTGTTGTGCATCGCTGCTTTCCTTTGGCCAGACACTGGGAGGGTGCCCGAGGGTGCCCAACCGTTCAGGCGCGTTGCAAAAGCAACGGACCCTGACAGTCGTCAGAGTCATAGTCTCATGAACTTGTGCTTCCTCCACCGGAACGAGCCCAAGCTGACGCAAAGCTTTCTGCTGCGCCTCACAGCACGTGACAAACTTCCAAAGGCCAAGACCCGCCGCCTCTTGCCTGTTGCGCTTTGCCGGGCCCCATGGGCTATCCCCAACCTTTTCCCAAACCCCAACCCCCATGCCCCATACTATTCCCATAAGTTGAATAAACCTAACCTGGCCCGTTTCGAAAAGTTACATCACCTGATAAATAGACTAGGACATGTCTTTTGACATATGGTTGACGGTGATGTAACTAGCCAAACTGGGCCAGGCCTCTCCTAACTAACTAAACATAACGACACTGATTAACCCTAAACCCTAAACCCTATCCTACCTGACTAAAATAACTACACGGATTCCCAGCCCAAAACCCGACCTCTGCTTGGAGCTCCGGCAGGGGAGCTGGCGCTTCGCGAGCCGAGGCCTTGGAGCCGGGATCGCAGATGTCAGGATTTAAAATTAGGGGGTTTAGTCTGGGGTTTAGGGTTTTAGGGCTTAAGGGGT